AATGGTAAAAATGCACTGCATAGATAAATTACAATGAAAAATCTGCCTTCAGAGGGAATGGATGTCAGTAGCATATGGGGCTTAGGAACAACAGGTGCCAAGTGGTAACAATGTTATTTATTGCTCAGAGGTCGGGGACAAACCTCCATCCTCAGCCACTGGGCTTTTTCACAGGTAAAACAGTGGTATTACAGGGACTAGTGCAGGGGATAATGAGGCTCCAAGCCTTGTAATCTTCTACTATAGCCTTGATGCCTTGAAGGGCTTCTTTATTCAGTACTGATCCATCCTGAGAAGAAATTTTGAGAAATCCATTGGAATCCTGATGGAAGGTGCACTGTGGATTCTGCCAGTATTACCGAAGATGTTGCCCATAAAGAGGGTGGTAGAGAGGCCAAGATGGACAAATGATAACGGCCCCCAGACTCTGCTGTAGTGAGTCTGATCTCTGTCACACCAAAGGCCAACAGACTTCCAACAGGCACCGTTCCACCAGGAGCAGTCTGGTTCCAAACAGGAGTCAGACCGAAGAGCAGCCTAATCCTAAAGGAACGGTTCAGTTCTGGAAAAGAGACCGAAGGCCAAGCGAACACTCTCAGAAAAAATGAGATCTTAAAACAGATCCTGAATAAAGCCTGGAGAACTCAAACACAAAGAAAGTAGAGCTCAAAATCCAGGGGGAAAACTTAACCCTCCTCAGACTCCAAGGTCCCAGAGGGCGCAGTGAGCCCGATTGGCTCTGCGGGTACCAGCACCACTTTACTCCCTAGCTTCAAAATTGTTACAGCTTCTCTGGATCCCACTCACAAGCATTAATGTTAACCTTAAAAATAAAATGCCTGTTATTTTTATCAGCAGAAATGGGTTTATAGGGGAATAACAAAGAGTAACAATTCAATCCAAGCACACCACAACAAACCCATACAGAAGACTGCAGGATAGAGGACTGCCTTTTTATAGAGGAAACCGGACGTTGGGAAGACTGTTGTAAACAGAAAGTCCATTGGAGTAAAGTGAGAGTTGGAAGTATGGTGGCTTCTCATTGGCTGAATTGTGAGTGTCTCTCATTGGCTGGGTTGTTGCTGGGGGAGGAGGAAAGTCTTCCCTCTGGTTGCCTGATAGTAAAGTGGTATCTGCAAGGTCCATCTCTCACTGCTGGATCTGCAAATGCCAAGTGGTAGGACACGAGAGCTCCCCCTGCTGGCCTCCCAACTCCGTTCTAAACTAGGTTTCTTTTTATTGATTTTCACAGAAGAAATTCAGGTTAGAGTAAATTTAAAAGAGTACATGGAGTCAGAAAAACATTATTCCGTGGGGGTGGGGGAGTTCCAGATTACTTGAGCTCTGGCTGTTGAACTGTTTCTTCGCGAAATCTCACTGATCTTACTTTTGGGAAGATTTTTCATTTGAAGTTTAAAAAAATTTTTAAAGTTGTGGTAAAATATACATAACATAAAATTTACCACCTTAACCATTTTTTTTAAAGATTTTATTTATTTATTTGACAGAGAGAGATCACAAGTAGACAGAGAGGCAGGCAGAGAGAGGGGGAAGCAGGCTCCCTGCTGAGCAGAGAGCCTGATGCGGGGCTCGATCCCAGGAGACTGGGATCATGACCTGAGCCGAAGGCAGAGGCTTAACCCTCTGAGCCACCCAGGCGCCCCACCTTAACCATTTTTTAAAAGCATTTTATTTTTAAATAATCTCTACACCCAATATGGGGCTCAAACTCACAACCCCAAGATCAAGAGTCAGGTGCTCTACCAACTGAGCAAGACAGGTGCCCCACCAACTGAGCAAGACAGGTGCCCCCCATCTTAACCATTTTAAGTGTACAGTTCAGTAGTGTCAAGTACATTGACACTGCAACCAGTCTCCAGAAGTCCTCGTTTTGCAAAACTGATATTCCACCCATTAAATAACAACAAATTCCCTCTTCCCCCAGCCCTGGTAAACAACCATTCTACTTTCTTGTCTTTATAAACTTAACTATGCTAAGTACCTCCTGAGAGAAATCATATAGTAGTTGTCTTTTTGTTACTGGCTTGTTAAAAAAAGTTTAGAGGACTGTTTAGAATTAGAAACAGAGAGAAACACGACTGACCTAGGTCTTCATCATGGGTGGACCTGGATATGTGATCTTTGCTGTCCCTAACTCAGTGGTTCTCAACTTTGCTTGCACATTAGACTCAGTTTTTATTTTATTTTATTTTATTTCCCAAAAGATTTTATTTATTTATTTGACAGAGATCATAAGTAGGCAGAGAGGCAGGCAGAGAGAGGAGGAAGCAGGCTCCCTGCCGAGCAGAGAGCCAGATATGGGGCTCAATCCCAGGACCCCGGGACCATGAACTGAGTGGAAGGCAGAGGCTTTAACCCACTAAGCCACCCAGGTGCCCCTAGACTCAGTTTTTAAAACCACCCCTTTCTGCATCCCTTCCAGACCAATTAAATCAGAATTGCAGGGAATGGAGGCTGCTGCAAGAGTTGTTTAGAAAACATTTCAGGTGTTTCTAATTTGTGATGGAGGGCGGCATCCACTGCTTAATTGAAATCTGAAAGGCAGAATAACATTTGTCAAATCAGGACGTTTAGGGGAGATGGCATTTCAGGTCTTTTTAAAATTCTAAAATTTTGCAAAATCAGTTAGTGTCTCTCAACAAGCGTTGGTGGATTGGATTCTTCGAAGCCCAGAAGCAGCTGAGCCAACGCTGCCAGGACTGTGGCTCCCCCTGCAGTCTACTGCTGTCATGACAACCCCACTTTAGAACCCTCTCACTAGTAGCTTACCCCTTTCCATAGGCACCCTTCTCCTGACACATTCATTCAACAAACACTGTACTTTTTAAAGACGGTTCACATTTCCTTCTCAAACACTTATGCAAGCTAAGAGGTCATTATATTTATGCTCATTACCTCAACTTCTGAAGAATATGAGATTTCCAAATAGTTATGAGATCAAATGAGGGATAATACACGAATATTGCTTTTCAGCTTAATGTAAGAAATATTTCTCTGAAAACAGAGCGGTTTAATAGAGTGAGTTGTCTTGTGAGATAGTGACTCCCTTCACACTAGTGCTACACAGTGAGTACTATCTCTAAGTGATGCTATGGAATAAGAGTTCCTAAATTAGAATGAATTAGGGTGACCTATGAACCCCTTCCAACCCCCAAAGTCCATGATTTTAAGCCAGACAATAAAATAATGATCTATGGCAGAAGAATGGTTTCTGAGTTAAGAAGTGGAGCTTGGGGTTCTGATAATTCCAGCTTTCAACCATTCCCCAAGAACTTACTAAATGTAAAATACCCAAAACGAATACAGGTGGGTCTTGTTCTAAAGAAAATCCATCATAGCTTATACAAATTTGAACTTTTCATAAAGATTAATTAGGACACTGACTATTGTATTATAAAAGAATTATTGATTTTGTAAAATCATGTTTGGATACTAGAGTTCCTCTGAGCATCTAAGTATTGATTTGTAAGTCACTACTTAGCGAAGGTGTTTGGGTGACCAAAGACTTCATTCTTTGTAAGTTCATGTGGAAATAACCAGTTGAGAAGCGATTAGCAAAATAGAATTTGGTTTGATAACAAGTATTTAAACATTCCATCAGAAAATATGGAACACTCCAAAATTCAGTGTAAAAGAGCGGCAATTTCTTGAGGGCTGTAATGTGTCAACACCGCAGAAACACCATTTTACCTAATCCTAACACAGCCTTGCAAGGCAATTTGTTATCATTCATTTTATAGGTGAGAAAACTGGGTCCTAGAGAGGTTAAGGAATCTACTCATAAGCCTAAATTCAAGTCCAAATATTTCTGATTCATTCTCTCACAAGTTATCCCAATCCACTGCCCTTAGAACAAATTACTTACTGACAGCTTGAAGAGCAAATGGGTTTGGGTTCATTTTTGCCCTTAAAAATGTTTTCAATATGGGTGCGCCTGGGTGGCTCATTCAGTTAAGTGTCCAACTCTTGGTTTCGGCTCAGGTCATGATCTCAGGGTTGTGAGATCGAGCCCAGAGTCAGGCTTCTGGCTCAGTGCCCAATCTGCTTGAGATCTTTTCCCCCTCCCTGACTCTCCCTCCACTCCTCCCCCCATTCACACACGCTCTCTCTAAAATAAATAAATAAAATATTTTAAAAAATGTTTTTAATGTGAATTAGTCACTAATGTTTTAAAAATCAGATTTCACGTGAAAGTCTGTATGTCCTGTGTGTCTTAAAAAATTCAGAAGCTTTAACAACCTTGCCCCGTGGTCCTAAAGGGGGCGAAGTCTGGCTAGGCCCCCAACTTCACTGGGGCTTAAATTCTTCAGGTTGCTCCAGTCCCTGTGATCTGGGCTGTACCCCTGATGCGGAAGTGGAGTGTCAGTTAGGACTTATCCCTTCACGCCCAGCCCTCCTTACTTTCATAATTATCTACCTGGCCTCTGCTGGTACTTAATTTGCAACCCTGATTTAGTGTCTTTCCTCTACTTCCCTTGCCACCATTCAGATCCCGAATATTTTAAAGCTGTTTTGCATTGTTTCCGCTTCCCAAGAGTGGGAGGGTCTAACCGTGTCTTCATCTTAGACTTTCTGCACAAAAGTAATTCTGATTTCTCTCGTTGTTTTCTCCCATGTTGGGGCATTTTGCTTCTGTACTTAATAGCTTGCCTTGCTTTCCATTTCTTCCTGCTCTTGGGGGCTAGATTTGGTGTTGTGGTGCCCATGGGGGAGGGAAGAACGCCTCCAGGGAATTTATGAGGGTGCTCCTGACCTATGGTTGCCCAGTGAGCTAGGGCCTGGGGCCTGGGGCCTGGGCAGGGGACTTGATGTGCCATGGACAGAAGTGAACGTGTTAGTTTCTTTTTAGCCCAGGGAGATTGGGGTCAGTTATCCTCCCCAGCAGACCCCACAGGATGCCAAAGGTTGTCTTCCCAACCAGTCACTTGCGCCCCCCCCCCGCCCCCCGCCCCGTGATAGCATGACGCCCACTCAGACGCTGTGATGCAATTTCATTTTATTAGGAAAGCACAGTGGACACCGGAGAGGCCCTTTCCAGGGTCAGGGGAGGCTGTGGGGACGGGGTGAAAGGGAAACCCAGCAACTAGAAGGCACAGCTGCTTTCCACGAAGCGGCGACACTTCATGACCCGCAGATAGGTCTCGGCCTTGTGCAGGTCCTTCTTGAAGCAGGAGAGCAGCCCATAGTTCTTGAGCAGCGCGTCGTCGCTGCGCAGGTTTGTGTCAAACTTGTCGTAGGTTTGCTTCAGGATCTGCCCGGCCCGGGGGCTGCCGTCTTCCAGCTCCTGCCGAAGGGGAGGAGGGACAGAGAGGCCCAGGGGTCGCCTGATGCTCCTTCCCTGACTCCCCCCCCCCACACCCCCTACCCCCCCGCGAGCGGCCCTCCCCTCCAGGGCTCAGAGAAGGCAATGGAGGATTCCCAGAAGGAACCGAGTAAGCGTTCTCGGGGGTCAAGGTCGGACTGCTTGCTCTACAGGAAGGGGCACCGTCTCCCAGCCCCTGCAAGACCCCCCCGCCCCTCGTCGGAGCCAGCGGGGCCAGCTGGCCCAGGGCAGGGGACCCGCGGCGCCCTCCGCACCCGCATCAGCGCTTGGATGCCTTCCTCCAGGTCCTTCAGCTTCTCGTAGACTCGGTCCGAGGTGCCGAACACTAGGCTGTTGGTGAAGACCCTGCTGAGGAACTGCACGGGCCCCAGCCACGACTGGATGAGCAGCAGCGAGAAGCGGAGCAGCTCCACGTCCTGCGGCGGGCAGAGGGGGCGGTGGGCCGGCTGGCCTCGGCCCCAAGGGGGGGCCTCCCCCGGCCGCCCTGCCACCCAGTGCCCCCTCCGCCCCAGGGCCCCGACTCCTGCGGAGAGCAGGGGCCCCCTTCTTGGAAGAAGGGAGGCCCGTGACCCTCGGCCGGCCCGCCCTGGGCCACTCACGGATCTCTGCTGGGCCTCGTCCTTGCCGGTGGGCGCCGGGATGGTCTCCGAGAAGCAGAAGGCGGCCTGCGCGTTCTGGATGGAGTACCTCTGGCCCTCGGGGATGTACGCCCGCTCCTGGAGGAAGGATGCTCCTCACTGCCTGACTCGGAGGCCCCCTCCGTGTGTGCTCAGGGAACAACCTCTTCACTCCTCAGTTTCCTCCCCTTGCCTCCCAGGGGTTGGGGAAAGTCACCCCTTCCCGCCCCACCCCCAGCACCCATTCCTGGGAAGCTTACAAAGTCTTTGTAGGTGTCCGCAGCCAGCTGGTGCAGGTGCTGGGCCCGGAGCACGGCGTTAGCAAACAGGCTGGACAAGGGCATGGCGGGGAAGGCGCCCACCTCCTGAGGCCAGGGCAAGCAGAGCAGGGTAAAGACCAGGAGCACGGAGTTCCGAGGACCTGCACACAGAGGGACACAGAGGGCAAGGCTGGGGCCCAGACGACGAGATGCCCGTTTCCTGCCAGCCCTTCCCCTCCCCCCAGGGGCTGAGAACATTTAACACTTGGCCAAACGTCTGGGCAGAGCCGTCTCTGCTCCCCTCCAGCAGCCCCAGAGCCCAGGGTTAGCGCCCCCAACCATTGGCAGCCCCCCACCCCTGCCTTGCCCCTCAGTACATGACAAGGCCAAGGGGACTTACCAGCAGCCATTGCAGCCAGGTGAGCTGTCCACAGGACCCTGAGCGCTTGGGGGAGCTGGGTGCTGGGATCCTGGAATCGGTCCCTTGCGGGCTCTTTTTATACCCTGGTCCCTTCTCTCTCCCCTTCTGCCCCCACCTATTTTCTCTATACATTTATGCATTGGGCCAGTGGCCCGTCTGTGCTGATGGATAATTTAGAGCCTCCTCCCTCTTGTCCTGTTCCCACTCTTCTTGGGGTCATGTCCCCCAGGCCGTCCCTGACATTTTCCCCTCTCCACCATCACCGGCCCTGAGGAGTGTACACACAGGGTCTCGGCTGGGGAGACCACCCAATCTGTCCTCATTTCCAGGGGCAGGTGGCAGGTGTGATGTGGTAGGGCACCATCATGGGGTGGTCTGCCCAGGGGAGGAGGACCCAACCAGTCCCCAAATGGGGGGCCATGTAGGCCGGGTGTGCTGTGAGGGCTGCACCTCCCCCTCTGTTCCTGTTCCTCCTCCCTGTACAGCTGCCCTCTGCCCACCAGGGAGAGCGTGTATTTGGGGAAAGGGAGCCCAGAACAGCCCAGGATCCTGGGGTTTCTGGGTACAATTCAGCCCCAGGTTCCATCTCTGCTGCTGTCACCATCCCCCCACCCTTTCCCGCCATCGGACCACTGGGTCTGGACTGAGGCAGATGGTGCTGAACGTGGACCTCCAGAGGGCCCCAGCCCCACACTGTCTGCCCCTGCCCCCACCCTGTTTTCCTGAGGTAGGGGCACCTCTAGGTGGCTGGGGCTGAGTCGTTACCCCCCCTCCCAACTCCTCAAACCTGCTATAGAGATGCAAACCAAGAAGAGAAGTGCCAGGGACAGACCCAGGCTACTGGGGCTTCCCCCCCCCCCGCCGCCCCCCACCCAACCCAGCCACCGCCAGAGGATATCTAGTTCGGAAGAGCCCTTGAGAGTTTGGGTCTCGTCCCCACACTGGAACTTCGGGTACAGCACCCCCAAAGATGCTCTCTCCGGTCACCTCAGTTACCTCCCAGTCTTTCTTTTCCTTTAATATTCGTATAAGAACTCCTCACGTTGTGACACGTTTGACCCTCATGACCATCTCATGAAGGCAGAATTATTGCCTCCCCATTTTACAGAGGAGCTGACTGAGGCTTAGAGAGGCTTGCTCTCGCCAGCTACTTCAGCCAAAGTTGACCTCCCAAACCTTCCTCTTCCCCTGTTGATCATCCTAAACCCTTTCTCCCGAACAGACTGGGTGGGCCACTCAGTTATTGTATCTTCTAAATGTCTCTCAAAACAGAGATCCTGGGGCGTCTGGGTAGCTCAGTCGGTTAAGCATCTGCCTTCGGCTCAGGTCATGAGCCCAGGGTCCTGGAATCGAACCCCGCTTCGGGCTCCTGCTCAGAGGGAAGCCTGCTTCTCCCTCTCCCACTCCCCCTGCTTGTGTTCCCTCTCTCTATCAAATGAATAAATAAAATCTTAAAAAAACAAAAACAAAAATGGAGATCCTGCCCCTCATCACGAGGGTCCCTTTGCTTCACTTTGTCCACCCCCACGAGGCAGGCTGTGGTCCCTCATTTCCCACGCAAGACTGGGCCAGACATGGGGTGTATGTTGGAGACCAGGTAGCCGTACAAGGTGGCGGTTGGGAAGGCTGGGTAGGACAGTCACCTTTCAGCCTCCAGGCCAGGGCGTGGGGACATTGTGGCCTCTGCAGGCCACCAGCATCAGATCACCCCCAGGACTAAGAGTGGGAATTCCCCTCCCTGTACACCTTCCACCTCTTGAGTCTAAGAACATTTAGCTCTTGCCCTGTGGGAAAATAAACAAATGAACCAGTAAACCCTTCTAGAGGTCGTTGGCTATGGTGTTGGCAACCAATGTTGAAAAGCCACACCCTCGTGGTCCAGGATGCAAGTGTTGGCCTCTTGCCACCTCCCACTTTTAGGATACAGCTTCCTTTTCTCCCATCATTCCAGAATCATTGCCCAGCTGTGCCCTGATTCACTGTCTGCTGGGGAAGGCACTGGGACGCACAGAGCTCTTCCCTAGGCAGGGCTGAGGGAGGGCTAGAGGGGGCTGTCCTTAAAGATGTAGGCCTGAGGAAGAGGGGGGCATGGGGAAGGCTCTCCGCTCTTCCTTGCAGCTCTACTACAGAGGAGGGGCCAGGAGCAAAATGGAGGAAGTTCTCCGAGCTCCACACAGCCTTCTGCCTCCCCGCTCCCTCTACCTTGTAGGGGATGGATGTGGAACCCTTCATGACCAGTTTCTAGCTCATTGTGGGGGAACTTGTATGTGAACTGTGGACCATGGTGAGGCCTCAGGCCTCCCCTAGGAGTGAGGGTACAGGAGCCCAAGTTGGGGACTGCTCAAGAACCACACAAGATGGGTACAAGGGAGGTGTGGCTAAGGTTCTCCTCAGGTAGGGTACTGCCAAGAACAGATGGAACCAGCCAGATCAGGGGACTGGACCTTCTCTTCTCACCAAACCCACTTCCATTGACCCCAGAACTAGACTGGCTCACAGGACTCTGGAGGACCCTGAGGATGCCCCATTGGGGTTACCACAGTGGCAGCTAGAATGGAAGGGTGTGGAGGTAGACTAGAGATTTTCCCTCCAGTGCTGGGGAGTCACCCACCCTTTCTTGGGGCACCACGGGGCCAGACCCCTGGCTTCTCCAGGTTCAGAGATGTAGAACCATGGCCTCTGCGTGGTGGCCAGTGGGAAGAGGCTGTGATTAGTATCTCTGGGGTCAGCCTCAAAAGGCTCAAGATGAATTGCCCATCATCTTGGAATCCATGAAATTCAGTGTGTTTGGAAGCCCTTCATATTTTCAGATTTGAAATCTGGGGTTTTCTGTACCTATTGTGGAAGCTTACAGATCGGCTCTTGATCTGAAAGTGACCTCTTTCAGGCTTTAGGAACCCCTCTGAGGTTCAATCCATGGGGTCTGGAGTCTTTTCTTGGAGTCATACTTACTGCAGCCTCAGGGACAGCCTCAGAGGGACTGGTGGCAATTCTTTCCACTCCCGCCACCTTGGTCACTTGAGGTCCACATTTCCCACTACGAACTCGGTGCTGCTTTTCTTGAGGCCAGACACTGGGGTTGTCCCTGGGACATAACTCTGCTTCCTCTTTGCTTCCAGCATGAATCCCAACACCGCATCAATCATTCCGCATTGGGTTAAGATCTCTAGAGAATATTATGTGGGGGTTCCCAAAGGCTTTATCAGGGGAGTCGGGGAAGGAGAACAACATTTCTGAGTGCCCACCATGTGCCAGGCTCTGTCCTGGCTGATAGGAGTGGGACACCTATTTCAGATGAGGACACTCAGACTCAAAGAAATACAGAAGTTTGCCCACAGTCTCTTGGCTCCTAAGTGACAGCTGTCCAAGGCTCCCATCTTCCCACCACATGGGACTCTTTAGAACCCTCGTCCTGGAAAGACAGGGGCGCTGCCGTGCATGGACAGAACTTTCCTCAGCACAAAGCTAACAGAGGAGGGTCAAGTCCCTGGTCAGAAGATGTTCAGTGAAGCTGGGGGGAATTGAACGGAAAGAGCTGCACCCCAGAATGAGGTCCACTGACACCAAGAAAAGCTGCAGAAAAAAACAACCCGATGTAACCTGATTTAATGAACCAAATCACATCATCCTTCACATGTGAATTGCACGTTTCAGTGTGCATCATGTTTTCACTTCCTTTATCTCATTGGACCCTTGGGTTTGCCACAGGGCTCAAGCATGGAGGAAGGGCCTTGGAGGGGTTGGGGGGTGGGGCATAGGATAGGGGAAGGCACTCCTGTGGGCTGATAAGAGGGTTGGTTACCCTGAGAACCTCTGAACCATCTGCGAGTGCCTCATAGCCTCCCTAGCTGGCCCTATGAATGTCCACTTCGGGGATTATTCCCCAGGAAGATAGTCCCCTGGAAAAAGAAGTAGTGAAAGGGCGCCTGGGTGGCTCAGTCGGTTGGGCAACTGCCTTTGGCTCAGGTCATGATCCCAGGGTCCTGGGATCGAGACCCGTGTAGGGCTCCCTGCTCAGCAGGGAGTCTGCTTCTCCCTCTGCCCCTCTCCCCGCTCTCTCTCTCTCACTCTCTCAAATAAATAAAATCTTAAAAAAGAAAGAAAGATAGAAAGAAAAAGTAGTAGTGAGTACCCAGGTGTGTCCAGCAGCTGTGGGAACTCTGGGGTGCTTTCCTGATTGGTGCCTTTAATTGGAAATCACCTCTGACTCCTTTTACCTGATTCAGTGCTTATTTGTGGACATTTTATGCCCCTTCTGGGACTGTAAACCCTTTGAGGCTGGATTCTTGCCTTTTATCTATTCATTTGTTCACTCATTCTCTTCTTCACGCATTAGCTCGTTCTAGAAGTAGTCGTCGCTCTTTCTACGTGCTGGATAGCATACCTGGCAGATGGGCATGCCCAGATGAACAAAAGGCACCGTTCTTTCTCTGCTGGAGCTTACAGGCTAAGGGGAAGAGAGACAAGAACAAACACATACATACGTAATGGCAAAATATACCAGGAAATTTCACATTGTGAAAAATGTCATGAAGGAAACAGCTAAGATAGAGAGGAGAGAGCAAACCCTGGGAAGAAGGGGCAACGGACAGAGGGCACAGTCCCAGAGCCAGGATCTCAACCAGCACATGCTAGGTGGAGTGAGCAGACGCGGGGTAAATGCCAAGGGAAGAATGCAAATATCACCCCCCGCCCCCAGACTTGGTCAGGGAGGCCAGCTTGTGTCTCTGTGTCCTCCTTAGAGAATGAATCTAAAGTACCAAAAAAAAAAAAAATCATAAAAAGTACAAGATCTAACAGTGCACAGCACCACATGCATGAAAAAACTTAAATGAAAAAAATAGACAAGGCGGTATGCCCATGCTGATCACAAGTACACACAAATATTCTACACAGACTCATGACTTACAGAGCCTGAGCCCTAAGCGGGTCCTCCAGAGGCGTCCGGCATCACCACCCTCCTCCGCCCTCCCGCCCCGAAAAAAAGTGGGGTTCGGTAAGAGAGAAAGAGATCTTTATTATTTTCTTTTTAATTTAAGAAATACACTAGGATTCATCTAAATGTGCTTTAACAAACTATGCTCTGAACTTGGGATGTAACGCAGGTTAATTTTTGTGCTCTGCGGAGTCATTTAGGTTTCCAGGTAAAGGCTCTTGAGTTGGAGGGGCCGCTGACGTATCCCAAGTAGAAGATTTGCCATTGCTTTGTTTTTGTTTGCG